ACTCGACGGTGCGAATGGTTCGATGGTGTACAAGTTCAGCGAGGATGACCAAAAACGAATAAAAGTACTTCATAATTTTGTATAAAACATTTATTTATGGACTTGTATTATTCTCCGCCTTAATTGCCAAACAATATAACTTCCTTCTTACAATACTGGTGTTTTGGAGTTAAAGTCAAACAAAGTACATGGTATTTATCGGTGCGGAGCGTCTTCGTAACAATAGGAACTTAGGATAAGTTCCTTAACGAGGGGCTTGGTTTCATTGTCGTGAGGGTTCCTGAGTATGCAACCTTATAGCATCCTCGACTTTCGATTCTGTGATGGCACTTGCTCATGGAATGTTAGGTCAGTAGATTTCCTCATACCTAAGTCAACGACACTCTGGAGTCAGAAATCAAAGCGTTAATTTTATGTCAATTGATGGTGTGCCGAAGCAGATGCAGCCATATTTGTTCAGACTGAATTGTATGTTCCGTAAAGATGACCAAACAGTGACTTTTTCTGATACATTCTGTACAACATTCCCGAAGTATCCCAAGCCATCACGCTGGAATGTATAAACTATTTTTAGGTCATCCGCAAAGATTAATGGTTTACCATGTGAGAAGCAAGCACATATGTCGTTGATATAATATGTAAATACGAGGGGCCCAATGGCGCTACCCTGAACTTCCCCAGAGATCGTCGGACTAGGTGTGGAAGTCCCTGACCCAGGTTAAACTATTTTGGACTTGTTGTTAAGGAATGATTTAAGCCATCCTAATAGTGGGCCGCGTATTCCTGAGGCGTTCAGCTTATGTATTAGCAGTAAATGGTCGACACATTCAAATGCCTTAGAAATGTTAAAGTAGATGACAAGTAGTGGTTGTCGTCTGTCACAACTGCTGGTCGCAAAATTAGAGAGGTCCAGATGGTATGTTAAGCATTATCTGCATTTTAGGAATCTATGTTGGTTCGGTCTTACAATGCTGCGGCTAAGCATATGCTTGATTAGGATATCTTTAACTAGTCTATCCAAAATTCTAGATGTTTTGGGTGTGATATTGATCGGCCCGCAGTTGTTGACTTGTATTCGCGAGCCACATTTGTGTTTAGGTGTAATAAATGTCGTTTTCCATATGTCCGCGTAAGTTATTTCCAACGATATTGTGAAGATGTTGAGCAGTAATATGGGAATGTCAGGACCACCATATTAATGGATATACAATGATATACCGTCAGTGCTTTGGTGTGTGTAAACCTGGAAGTTTTGCTATATTAGTGGCGTGGTGTATTCCGAGTAACGTGACTACAGGCTTGAGGTAGTTACCTGAAAAATCTTTGTTTAAAAATTCACACATGTCTGCATAATCAGTGCATAGCCTACCCTTGTCTGTGAGGAGAGAAGTGCTGTGAATTTTGCGATTCAATCGCTTTTTTAGGAACTCTGTGAGAGCATACACCCTAGTAGGGCTGACTAGTGCGGTGCGTTCATCTTTCCTCATACGCATATCTCAAGCTTGCGAGATGGAGGTAAGAGCGTTAAACAATAAACCTAGTGTGCCAAATTCGTTGTGTTTCAAGTAACATTGACGCATGCATTTTCATGTAAATTTATATGTTTATATGAAAATATAAATTGTTATTGAATAATACTACAGTTCCCATATATTATTTGTTGTGAAGTTGAAGTATAGGCTGCATTGTCGCTCGGTGGAAGTGGCAGTGCACACTTCACTGTTTTGTGGTCACAACCTGAAAACTTAGAACCCATGAAAATTGAGAGGGGACTTATATCGTGACAGAATATTAAATCCAGTACGTCGTCACCTCTTGTAGGGATAGTGACAGTTTGTTTCCAGCCGAAAACGTCCAGTGTACCTAGGAGCTTGTCATATTTAGATGGTCTCGGGTATGTTGAAGTCTCCACATATGATGCTATGCTCTTGTGGGAGAGTGGATACTTGCTCCAGGGCATTTACAAGTTTTGTCTCACAGTCACTAAAGGTGCCAGGTTCTTTGCAGTTTCGTCCTATCATTAGCGTAAAACTTTTGAAGTGTACGTTAACCCACAGGCTAACGTGCATGTGATTGATTTTCCTATTTTCTAGCTGTAGTACAGTGTGTTCAGGAAGTACATTGGTCGGCCCCCTCCCTCACCACTGTTACTGTCACATCGGAAGCGAGTGTGACTATATATGCTTATCTCTTCGTCTGGCATACTGGAGTGACACCTAGATTCAGGAATAATGATTATTGGGGGTTTATATAGCAGCGTAGGGTATGTCTAGGATAGATCTAGCATTAATAAGGACTGAGTAAAGCCGAGAGTTGGAGTAGTGTTTCAGGCATTTAAGCTCGTCAGTCAGGCTCAAGTGTGGGTCGGCATCCATTGGTTCCGTACGGCATAGCAACTCTGTGTTGCAAGTAGTGTGGTTACCATGTTCACCTATGTCTGTAGAGTCACCATCTATTTCTTTTAGTGAGTGGTGACTTTTATGATTGGATTCCCTGCAGGGCTTGGATTGTTCGGAAACTTGGATAAGAGTTTTTACTTGGCCTATATTTTTACAATTTTTTTTATTTTTTTTGATTTACAGCTTGATTCCACACTGTATTTTTGGTACAAATATGGAATTTTCAGCATGGATATCGGTAGCCCGAATTTTGCAGGCCGACCATAGATATCAGGTGTGCGTCGGCGCGGGCTCGAACCCCGGATCATGTGCATGGTCGGCGAGAGTCCTAACCACTGTGCCACCGACGCACTACATAAAAGTCCACAACGTCATAGTATCCACACTTCCAAAATAGGCTACCGATTTCTTCGAGAACATACCAGGGAGAAAAACTGAAACTGCCAGATGGCTCAAAACCGTTAATGCCCAGCTCTTGGCACGCCGGGCCTCTCGCTGTCTCTCGAAGCCTTTCTGAAACGCTTGGTACTAACGGACACAAAAACCAAAACACCGATTGGCGACTCGGGATTCTTCATTCTAACACCAGCACATGAGCAGCATAATAACTAAGGTCTGTGAACATATATTACAATAATAAATCACAATATTACTTCTGACAGTTTTTTCTAGCTTCTTTCTGAACAGCGATCGATGAGACGATGACTGGTGTATTGATGCCTCCGCGAAAATATAGGGAAGTTGGGTTTGAGCAAACAACCACGAATTGATCGTTCAATCTTCAACTACATTGACAGTACGCCTACAACCACGGGATGAAAACGAAACGAAGTCGATTTTTCCGCGAAACCTGGAGGACAGCTATACAATTCAATGAGTATACAGCCTGGTTCAGATAATGAGTGTATTTATATATATATATATATCAAACATTTGACCGTTGAAACATTATTAACTTGTAGACAATCTACGATTTGATATTATATCACACTTGATCGTGCCTGTAAAAATGGCATGCATTCTCATGTAAATTTATACGTTTATATGGAAATGCACATAATTATTATTGTATCTACTAATATTGTCCTCTCTTTTCGACCACGGGGGCCAGCCAACGGGTGAAAGCATTATTTCTATTCAAAAGGCGACATAGGCTTAACACACCGTATTCTACAGAACATATAAAACGAGTCCCAGCACAACTTCCAGTACAGAGAGCCGAAGCCATGATAGTTGAGTGGCGGGATACGCAATTCAGAAGCTTTCCGAAGACTAAGAATCTTTTTAGAAACCGATATTTTTATCGAAGAGGTTACTCAAATTACCGACCCACTATCTGTAACGTTGTAGAAAACCAGTGATGCCGATAAAACCTAATTTCCGAAAGAATGTCAAAGGACGAACAAAGTGGGGAACACCTATTCAAACAAACGGGAAGACACTCATCATTCAGTAGACAGGGGCAGCCTTACAAGTCGCAAATAAGATATAGTTCCTAATTGGTTCTTCGTTCAATCCTTCAGAGTTCTTTAGTCCTTTACATATGAGTGGCAATAAAATAACACGTTTGGAGGCCCTACGTCTTTATCTTGCGACGGAAAAACGAACACAAAGGGATCAATTTGCTTTACACTAGTTCTTGAAAACAACACTGGGCTTAGGATATTGGAAGACGAATAGATTAACTGGTTAAAGTCTTTCAAACAGAATAAACAATATGGGAAATGTACTACGAGTGATTTAGACTGTTGATTCTAGCATCCTGTGTGTCTTATTCCAGCACCTGTGTATAATCTTTCTTCCTACCGTCCAATAACGGAAACTTTCGCAATTCCTGAGTGAAGTTGACTGACTATACCTATATTAAAGATATAAATTAACACTTAAACCAATATCTTACAACTTATTTCATTAAAAGTAAACATTACAAACTTATGTAGTTTCTAGATTTTTTTCAATTTTTATGTCACAAAACAGTGTTCAATCTAAAATTTCACTTGTCAAATATGATCATACATGTAGAAACGGTATGTCAACCATGTTAATACTTAATTTATGTGAATAAAATATTAGTATTAAAAATTAGCGGACGAGTTGTTATGCAGCTTGTGATTGATCGCAGAGAGCCACACAAGTCACACAATGATCAATTGAACCAAACTATATTCTTCAACTACCATTCAACTGTGATTATTACGGTCCCTAACCTAAAATTATAACTGTGTAATTGCGGACACACATTCACCAAGTAGCGACAGTCACAAAGCTGATTTACAGAAGTCCTTCCTAACGATTGGCACACTTCGCTTAGCGCCAAACAACTGATTATCTACCGTCACTTATTATTAATCTTGGCAATTAAAGACAAGTGAAAAGTTATAGATGGACAGAGAAATCCCCAAATTAACACTGGACTTAGTTTTCTCCCAATTCCAGACATCATCTATGAAAAAAACAAAACTAAGCTACTATGTGAAAATTAATGCCGCCATATGAGTCCCTACATATTGGACGGGAAGCCGTATCACAGTGGATGAATAATCCGAGTATAGCTTTCGAGTTAAAGCGCAAGATGAAACTATTTATTTTTAACTCAATAGTCGATAAAGGAAACATGAGATGTTTGAACTGTTTGTTTAAACCTTCTGATGGAAATACAGATTTTCAAGGCCTTTAAGCGTCTTTTTGAATAGGCGTCTAGGAAATGGGAGCTGCTTATACGAAAATTGTGAATTATCTCTATATTGTAGAACATGGTGAAGCTACATCGGATGCTAACATTAAAAAAGCTAAGATAACATGTACACTATCTTCAACACGAAAACCTGCGAAAGCTGTATGTTTATTTTTTTGAAATTATTTCGATTAAGAGTCCATACTGGAAACACATCGAGCTAAATAAGTCCAATGAAGAGTTGCTGAAAGATAATTTATTGGCTGGAGCAAGATTCATCCACGAGTCGAGGTGTGGTCGTGAAAATATCGCTGTTATAATGTAAGTGAAAATACCGATTTTAAATACTATTCCATGTAAGAGAGTTTCTATATAGGGTGTGAAATATTTTTGCTAATAGCATTTATTTTAGCGAGTTTACAACTCGTATTTTGGACAAATTTTCAGTTGGACGGAGTTAGTTATTAAGTTGCAAATGTACACCTCTAACACCGCATTCTCTGGAGTGATCAGCGGAATTTACTCCGAAATTCCTGTAGCACTGTACAACGGTGATAATTGCAATCAAATGGCCGTGGCTCTTATGTTTGATTTGTAAGAACACTGAAAGTTTATTTTAACAATGGCTGTCAGTGAGTTGAAGTGAATGAATTGAGTATACACTGACGGATTTCACAATTATTTGCTAATTTCTGTATTAGTGAATTACACGAAAAATCGCCAAGCTATTAAGTATATTACTGTGGTCATCAATCCTCATCACTAAAAACTTCTCAAACTTATTCCATAAAATTAGGTGCAATATTGTACCAAATACTGAAAATCCCACACTGTAACATTACCACTGTTTGGGAGTAAAGCAAATTATTATAGTTCAGCCAACGACGTAACATAGCTTTTATCCATTTTGCAGCAATTACATAATGCACTATTACGTAACGCCTTGAATAAAAAGTGTGTTCTGTAAAATTACCTTATTTTCCTGTCTTAATTTATTAAAACGACGTGAACAGAACCAAATAAAATCTATGCTTTGTTCATAAGGTCACGAAGTTAATCATATATTTACACGCTATAAACTTCTTAGTATTTAACAGATACTCAAGTAATTTAATTCTTTATTGATGTTTCTGTGTGACGAAGTCTTCAATCAAATTACGGTGTTATAAAACCGATTCAAATTATAATTTATACGCCTTCAAACAGTAACATGCGGAGTAGATAATTTGTTTCTCATTCAGGAACGCAATTGTAATTAACTAGTTAGCGCCACTAGTTAAACCATTAAATGTAAAAGATAGAAACTACTTAGAAACCATTCATGTCGAGACATCGAAGCATCCACTTAGTTTGGACAAAACACGAACATATAAACTTGAATACATATTTCCCCCCAGCTTTGTCTAAACTCATCTAGGGAACCAGGTGCATGACTTTCATTCACCCCCAAGCAATATGCTTGCAAGATATTATTAGATTGGCTAGCAGCTGGGTGCATAAGCTGTGGAATCAAAGAGTGTTGGCTTACTAGTAAAAGTATTTAAACCAGCAACAACTTCTCAGATATTCACAGTTAGTTTTCAACAAGTCTCCTTGTATATTAGTATTCTCTCAGTTCATTTGCAGCTATCGTGATATCAGCAGACTTGGATCGGGGTGAAAATGTTGGCAGAAAACCGAAGGCAATGGAGATGCGCAGCTGCAGCCCTATGTCCCTCTAAGAATTAAAGGATATAGTAATAATAATCGTGATATGTGACTCAGGCTAGGTAGTTTCTAGGGATGATTACGATAATTATGCTTACAGTTGTAGAGACTTAAATTTAGGTAAAGCTTACTACAGTAAAATAATTCACAAGTATTTTCTTGATTATAAACTACACTGCTCCGATGGGTAAATATTCTGTTTTTCCGATTTGACAGTCACCCACCAACTGGAAGTCCTGGACCAGTATACTGACTAGTATTCGTCACTTCGTTAATTTTTACTGACTCTTAGCTTCAGAAATATCGTGGAGATTTTCTTTAATTCTCATTACGACATACCGCTTGGCGGGTCACAGAGAATATTTCCAACAGGTTGCGATGCAGACCTTTATCCGTAATGAATATCAAATGGCCAGAAAGAATCACCAACAAGAAACTATGAGCACTAACAAACAAAACAAGAAACAATCGCCGCCCAACAAATATGCAGGAGATGGAAAGTGGAGATGGATTGGACACTCGCGGCTGAGGAAGCCGCTGAGAGACAACGCGCACGCTTCAGGTGATTGCTCAAGTGGAATCCGAAAGGGAAGCGGCGAGTCGGTTGTCATTGCAAGTGTGACATGGAGGAGATCGTGTGATGAGGAGTTGAAACAGTATGGACTAACTGTAACATGGATGTAGGTGAAAAGTACAGCAGAAGGAAGACAGAAGTGGCAAGTGGAGACGTGCAGTTGTAGCCCTATGTTCCACTAGGAACCCAAGGGAGCAATAATAATCACATACCGCTGAAGTAAAATGAAGACAAATTATAAAATTTTTGGAATAAATGTGCCTGTACTTTTAATAAGTCTATTTGCTGTTCAGAACGCTCTAGGTCACAAACATCTGGAGGAAGGGATTTTTACTATTTCTGCATTTAGTAGCAAACATTTATTGGTGGATGATTAGAAGCGACATTCCGTTTCTCCCCCTAAACATCCTTTAAAAAATGGAATATCAAACAATGTGCCAAAAAGATATCCATATTTGTGATATATCATTTTCAGAGAAAATAAAATACATCAACAAAGACAAAAATAATGATAATACGTGACTTCAGAGAAAGACTTACCAAACGTATACGTTTTGAAACCTTCTGTTCGGAAATATCATGCTTTTCACATCTGTGTTGCCTTTGAGAATTCCCAACTTCCGATTCAACTAAAATCATTAATGTGACAGTGTAATTTACATGTAAAAAGTGATGGGTTTATTGTGAATAAGTCCGCTTTAGTCTATATTTAATGTTAGAATAGATTACTCCATTTCATGTCTTGATTTTTTTCATCAAATTTATAATTTCCAAGAGTTGATTTGTAAGAGTTAGGTTTGTTTTCTGAGTTTACCCACAAATTGATATCCATTGGAGAACCATTGAAAACCAGGGAGTATTGGACAGCTGTTTCACCCTAGTTTGGGAATCATCGACAATACACACCCACAGAGTGGGGTTCGAAGCCAGAACCTCCCGATTACAAGGCAACTTTGTATAACATTCTAGTGAGAATTTGTGACCAGTGAGGTCCATTCAGTAGAGAATGTGGATGGATTTCCCAACGATAACATTAGTTGATGGCTGCACTTAAATCACGAGTTGGCAAGAGCTAGAATTCATGAGTCGCTGAATCGGATCCCAGTGCCCGAATGGTATATGAGCTTGTCTTGTAACCGGAAGGTGCTGGCTTCGAACATCACTCTGTGTGTGAGTATTGCAGATGATTTCCAAAGTAGGATGAAACAGCTATCCAATACTCCACTATTGGTTTTCAATGGTTTTCTAACTGATATCAATCTGTGGTCAAAATAGAAAAAAACATTTATAATTACCAAATCAAACCCATCTCTCTTCACTTTAACCCACTAACTTGGGTTAGTCGATTAGTAAGATTGGATGGAGGAAAATTTTTAGTGTAACCAGATCAGGATGTAGAAGAAATCTCTGAAAATGAGTTTAAATTATCTAACTGAATTCTATATGAAAACTTATATATATATTTATATATAAACTGTGGGTGGGATGGTGGAAAACTAATTTCAGGGGTGCAGATTTATTCATGTTTCACCTTTACATTAATGGTAATGCCACGATTCTTTATTCTGTCTTCCCTTTATTCTTATTTTAGGCAGTACTTAACCCTGTAATTTAAGACATTTCTTAGCTAGCCTATAGATGACGGGCAATAATTGGAAGTGCTATGTAGTGATCCTAGATCCTGTTTTAATAACATTATTGGCAAAGTTAAACTATTACAGTTGTAGTCACAGTCTGCCAAAGTTCACCCTGAAGGACCAGTCCGATCGATAGGTTGCTTTGGAGGGTGATTCCAAATAGAAAACATGCCCGCGCTTATGGATTTGGTTAGTGAGTTTCACGAACACATGGTGTTTAACTCCAATGTCACTAAGGGATTGATTAGAATAACTAAGACGTGTGTGAGTGTGTGGAAAGAGACTATGACAGTAAAGCAGTACAACCTGGTTAGACATAAATACTGTTATAGGTGGAATTCGCGTCTTAAGAGAAAATCGGTTCGTGAGGGTAGGTGCAGTATTTTACTTATTCCTTAGGTGATATTTTCTCCAAGTCTAAGTTGTCTTTGTCAGATATTCTACAGCCTATGTAATGCTGAATTCTGCAAAAGCCTGTAAAGTCAACAGCGGCTGAGACGGGAAAAAGCCTAGTCCCTAAAGTTCAGTGGTATGAGGGTTGTAAAGACAGCATCAGGGAAATCAGAAAGGATCACTAACTGTGTCAGTGGAGTAGGATGAAACTGTCCCCATAAAGAAAAAGTACAGTAGGGGACGAAAAGGGCTAATACATACCGATGGATGGGAGTGATAATTACCAGTTGCCATCTTTGGACTACATTCACCATCGCGTCAACCATTCCTGCGGATCTTATGGATCCAACCACAGAAACGCACACTAATTCTATAGAAGGATTTATGCGGAAGTTGAAGAATAGAATCAAGAATGTCAATGAGTTCTAAAGTGCCATGATTCGCAGCCACATCGATGAATAAACGTTTCGAGTTTGTCATAGTTGCTTTACAGATCACCTCTGGAGAAACTGGGAGCCATTTCGCCGACATATTAGAGACCCTTATCCACCCTAATATCAAGTTTGCAACGTTTCTAACCCATTTTTTAAAACCACTATGCCACTTTTTCTCATCTGAATTCTGATTGGTTGTTCTAGGTTAATGAGAGTTTTAGCTATGACAGTTAAACTTCGTCACAATATTGACTTAGGTTAGAGAGATATAACGAGCACCAGTATTTAATTACTATTAGTTGTTCAATTTTGAATGCCACTGGACTATCTATTTTTTGATCAGATGCCTTTAATATTTCAGTCATTTAATTCAACCTATTTACATTATAGAACTGGTATATTGTTATTTAATAACAATAATCCTCACTAGTAACTGGTCACATGACGAAATCTCCTGAAGTTCTAGTGAGAAGTCGTGACCAGCAGGTTAGGTCCAATATGAGAACAAATTTTCGCCGATGACACTGGCTGGCGAGGATGCTGAAAATCATGAATTAACAGAAGCTAGAATTCATG